GGCGGGTATGCATTCTACAGCCGCCCAGTGGCGGGGGCCTGGCCTCTAATCCCCTGGTTTCTCCTGCTAGACCAGATTTCCCCTGAGTGATGCCTCTTGGCAGTTCAAACTGTACTCTGGGCCTGCCGTTTGTTGGGCATGGAGGGTGGCTATTGAGAACCCTGGCACTCTATTGTTTTGATTTTTTCCACTTGTCCCTCCCCCCGCGCTGGCAATACAGGTTTTATTTTCCCCGCTGATGGGAGGGGGAGTTGAAGGTCGGGTGTCTCTAGTTTTTCCCGCGTCTTTATGCAGGCTTGCTCTGATAATCCCTCCCCCAGAGAGCCTAGGAGAGATTTTATGTGAATTCCCCGCTGTATGGGAGATGAGCCGAGTGACACGCACCTGTTTTATTGTCGCAATCTGTCGGAGAGTGGCGGTGGTTATTTCAGCACTCCAAGATGGTGGCCGCTGGTTTCCTTGGTGGAGTTTCCATTGTGGGGGATAGAAGTGTACCGCTTCCTTCCCCGTCTGAAATCCCAAACTCAGCTCGGGGCTCTGTGAGTGCTTAGGCGGCAGGATTCCACAGAATCTGCAGCAACATTTCTCCCTGCTTGCTGATAGCTTCTCAGCGGCTCCCTGCCATCTGTAGCTGCGGGGCGGGCCGCGCAGATCAGTCAGCCCAGATCTCCAGTCGCACAGTTGGCTCGTGTATGAGACTCAATTACTGGACCTAGGTGCTGGAAATCCTTCCTCTAGGTTTCGGTGCACCCCCATTTTGCTGTAAGTTCCTAACAAGATAGTTTTTTGTCCTTCTAACTTGTTATTCACCCATGCAATGGCGCGGTACATGGGGTGTGATGCACTCTATTCGTGGCCATCTTGGGAATCCTTTATTTTATTTTTATGTGGTGCTGAGGATCGAACCCAGCAACCTGCACATGCCAGGCGAACGCACTACAGCTTGAGGCACATCCCCAGCCCTGTTATATGGTTTTTTATTGTCCAGATCTTTTAGTGAATGTTTCCTCTAAGCATGCTTAAAATACCTTTAAAAATGATAATGTACATTTATAGTGTGCTTTATAACTTAGGAGGTCTTTTTCCTTTGTTCTCTCATTTAGAGTAGTAGATATTTCTCTGGTACAAATGGTGAATATTATTACTTTGTATTGTGTTCTTTAGTATAAAATATTAATTTGACTAAAACATCAATAAGATGATCCATATTGATAAATAGTATAGAACCATAGCTATGGGCATTTATTGGCAAAACTTTAATTTCCTTCCCTTAATAACAGAATTATTTTATTTCTCTCTACCCCAACATATGGCTTGGTGCCTGGAGCACAGCTGCTGTCCATTAAATATTTACCTTAAAAATAAAATTGGAAATCTGAGTTTTATCAGTCTATATGTTTCTTTTTAAAATTTCTTTGGTATATCTAACTTCTGGAACAGCCCAATTCAAAATAAATTTGTAGTCACTGGCAATCAAATTTAAAAACTTCTCTTTTCCTAATTGTTTCCTATCTTAGCTTTGATTCTTTTATACAAGTTGAACTTAACCTAGAATTAATATATCTATATTAGAAAAGAGCTTATAGTTTTTCTAATTTCTTTTTTAAATTATTATCAGTTGTTCAAAACATTACATAGTTCTTGACATATCATATTTCATACATTTGATTCAAGTGGGTTATGAACTCCCATTTTTACCCTGTATACAGAATCACATTGGTTACACATCCACGTTTTTACATATTGCCTTACTAGTGTCTGTAAGTGTCTGATTGATTTTCATCTAATTCACCTTGTCTCTTTGCTTTATTACTTATATGCACATTCATACCTATACCTTCATTAGGAAATTTATAGTTGTTTTTGTATACTTGTTAGGTTGAGAAATATCTGGTATAATGTCCTCATAACTTTGTGATTTTATGGTTTTACATGGGATGACTTTTCTACACATGTCTTATAATTATCTTTCTCTGGTTAAATGGAGAGCAGCAGTGACATACTCTGGTTGCCTATGTTATTTGCTAGAATTTATTATAGAAGAACCTCTACATATAGGTCACTCATAGTTTCTTTTGCTAATATAAAAATAAATTGAGCTATGCACTCACTTTTCATGTTGAAATACAAAACTGAGCATAGATTAATTTTACACAATAAAAGATTGTCAGAGTCATTAGGAGAGCACATTTGATGAATTTCCATCTGAAACAGTATTATTTACTTAAATATAAAAATAGAAACATAATACAAGTAAATGTTAGTAGCTATTCAATAAAAAATATTAAAAAATATGTTCTCTAAAGTTTAAGGATAGTATTTATAAATGAAAATGATCTGTGCTTTTCTTAATAAATATGTTTTAATTTATCTCAAAGTCTAGGAAATGGGAATTTCCTTTCTAAAAGATCAGCAATAATGATGAGTGAGGATTTTGGGAACATGGATAAAAGAAGACAGTCAGATTTCATTATTGAAAAACAGTCAATACAACAAATCTTGGGAGAAAATGGAAAAGAAGTTTCAAGTTTTCTGGAGAATGTGAATGAGCCAACACATAGACTTCTGTCAGAGAATTGTGACTCTTTTGTTCCTCAAAATATGATAAATTTATTAGACTTTGATCAACAAAGGGTAAAGAAAACCTTTGACAAATGTGGCTATGATAGTTTAGGGGATATTTGTTTGGTTACAAGTTCGGATGAAAACCATTCCATTGATGGAAACAGAAGCATTTTTACAGATCCAGAGTCAACTTTTAGTAGTTCTACTTTAAATAAAACAAGTTATCCAGAAAAACATCAACCAAACAGGAACTATCAGAAAAAGCACAACAATAATGAAATAAATGGCTTTGCTACATGTTTGGAGGAGGATTGTTACCTGATCAGCTCTGAAAAGAAAGGTTGGTGTTGTATGTGGAAAAATGTAAAAATCTATACTTCATCAGTTTTAATATACATATTTGAATATCTTAGGTATATGTCCACACACATACAGTGAGCCCTTCATATTTGTGGACTCCCCATCTGCAGATTAAACCAAATGATTGACATCATTTAAAAGTAAAATTGCATCTGAGCTGGATGTAATCCAGCTGGATGTAATGCTGCTGTAATCCCAGCAGCTCGGGAAGCCTAGGCAGGAGGATCACAAATTTAAAGCCTGCCTCAGTTATTTTGTGAGGCCCTAAGCACCATGGTGAGACCCTATCTCAAAATTTAAAAATGAAAAGGGCTGAGGATGTGACTTAGTGGTTAAGCACCCCTGGGTTCAATCTCTGGTACCTAAATAAATAAATAATTGCATCCAGATATAGATATGTTTAGCATTTTACTTAAAGAATTCAATATTATAGCTATCTATATTGCATTTCCATTTTATTGGATGTTATAAGTAACCTAGAGATGATATAAAGTATATAGGAGGATCTATATAGCTTATATGCAAATACTAAACCACTATTATTGAAAAACCATTATTATCTGAAAGACTTGAACATCCATGGGTTCAATATGTGCAGGAGTGGCAGAGGGAGATCCTGAACTCACTATACTGTATATATTTATATGTATGTTTCTGTGTTTGGAGAAATATGAAACCAGAAATATAATGATGATTAGGTGACATTGTAGACTAGTGATCTCTCTGTGTGCCATGCTAATATGTTTTGTATTGAAAAATGATAATAGACTGTGTTAAATTTTTAACACACACTTTCATTTTTGAAGGAAAACTTAACAATGTTTACCAAGAGAAAACACCACAGAAAAATATCCAGGAATATCCAGTGAACTCTATGTAAGTTTTTAGGTAAATCTGGAGAATATAAATTAGGATGTAGTATATAGAAGTTTGAACTAATGCAAAGTCAGGTAGGCATACTACTGTCAGAGGGTGAGCAACCTGGTTATAATGATGTGTTACTAGTAATCACATTCTTGATATTATCACCATAGTGGAAAGTATGGTGTACATATTTGCCAATTTCCAAAATACCTTCTTATCTGAATATTAGTTTTGATTTTGATTACATTTGAGAAATTGTCTTAAGTTCTTAAGAAATTTGGAGCTGGGGTTGTGGCTCAGCGGTAGAGCACTTACCTAGCACGTGCGAGGCCCTGGGTTCGATTCTCAGCACCACATAAAAATAAATAAATAAAGATATTGTGTCCAACTACAACTAAAAATTAAATATTAAAAAAAGAAATTTCTATGGAGCAGAATGTCAGTTTGTGAATTTACATTAAGAAACTAAAGCATCACATATAGAAATGGTTACAAGCATGAAAGTCCTTTTTTTTTTCTTTTGCCTTCCGTAAGAAGATTGCTTGGTTGTTTGAGAGTCAGAACAGAGAGTAAAAGAACTTATAGATCAGTGGCATATGCAAGCATCATCAATTTATGAAACAATTTGTGATCTAGGAATAAAACATACCCCTTATTGTCAATATTTACCTCTCAGAGACTCCCTCTCCTCTCTGTGTTCAGGATTACTATCTCCTCCATCCCATTATTGTTGTATTTTTTCCTATATGAAAACAACAATCTTCCCCAGATCTTGCTACTAGTGTACAAATGTTCTGCATTTAAGAAGTTAAAAACTTTATGTACGTATGTGAAATTCTGATCCTGTGAAGACTTTATAACAAAAGAGACTAAACCTTAGAGATCAAATAAATTTTTAATGGTCACACACTCACACTAGACTTGGAATTCAAACAACTGACTTGATATTTTCAGCTACAGTTTTTCAGTTTTTAAAAACACTGGTGAAAACTCATGTTAGATCTTGAATTTTAAATGTATTTATGAGAGTGACTTAGAAGATGTTTTCCAAACTTGGTTGCAGATCCAAATTTACTTGAGGGAGTGATTTTAAAACTACAGAGGGCAAAGTTTTACATATACTAATAAATAAATAAGCTCCTTGGCATGGAGTTTATGAATCTTTGTTTTAAAAATACCTCTTATATAATTCTAATTTGGAGCCAGGTTTTGAAACCATAATTTAGAACAACAACTTTCAGAGGAAGTAAAGTAAATTTTAATACTGTCTTTTTTATAATCCATAGGGGCAGTGTTCCTTTGCAAGAATTGTATTCTAAACAATCCTGGGATTTAAGACTTGGTGAGGTAAAATGCATTGTTACATTATTTTTCTAATTTAGTCAGTTTGTGTTCTATAATATTTTAACATAATGACTTACTTTGATTTAAGTTTAGCTTTTATTTATAAATTTCTTTTTAGCTATACTCTTTCTTATATCAGAAAATTATAGCTGAATCTAGAAATAAAAACACCTTTTTAAAAACTATAATGTTCTTCATTTGAAACAAATGAATCTCGATGCATTTTAAATATAGTATAAAATATTTTCCAAGATAAAACCTCTTTAGAATTAAGTGTACAAAACATCTATAAGCCTTGGTTATGTAATGTTATAATCCCTGTTATGGTTTGAATGTCAGGTGTTCCCCAATAACTCAAGTATGAGACAATGCAAGAAAGTTTAGTGGAGAAATGATTCTGTATGAGAGCCTTAACCCAGTTAGTGAATTAATCCCCTTAAGGGAATTAACTGAGTGGAAACTGGAGGTGGGTAGGATGTGAGTGGAGGAGGTGGACCTTGAGGGAGTGGGTTTGGGGTATATATTTTGTATCTGTAAGTGGAGCATCTCTGTCTGCTTTGTGATCATTATGTGAGCTGCTTCCCTTTGCCATACTCTTCCACCATGATGTTCTGTCTTACTCCAAGCCCCAAGGAAAGGTGCCAACTGTCCATGGACTGAGACCTATAAACTTTTTCCAAATAAACTTTTCCTGCCCTATAATTGTTCTTGTCAAGTCTTTTCGTCACAGCAGTAAAAAAATCTGCCTAAAACAATCCTTCTTCATAATAATTTTAGAGAGATTAAATAAATTGTTCGCAAACACTTGATTCAGGATTCAAACTACTGTCTTATCTGATTTGATATTCTCAACTATATTTTTTCCCTTTTTTCTCCATTAATATGTAATTGAATATTATGAATTCATTATCATACATTGACTATCTTCAATGCACTGGGGATACAAAGGTTAAAAACAGTCTTTCTTTTAACAAAGATTACATTGTTATGCATTTGACTGCAAGGGACAGATATGGAAGGACATGGAACCTATCTTTAAGAAGTTTTTGTCTAGTAAATAGAGATAGAAAATATAATGCATTTAGATTAATTATTCTAATTGTAGTTCATACAAAATCAGTGATAGCCTATTGAAAGACACCACTAAGTTTTGTGGTTAGTCAGGAGGAAGATGTTATAGGTAAGAAAACTTCTGAGCAAAAACTCAATAAATTTGCTGAATGGAGTAAATGTCTGGAAAGAAGAAGCAATATAAATAGAACCAAAGATATGAGAGACTGTATCTTGCTTAAGAAACTTGGAGTACCTGTCTCATTCTAGTTACTGTTATTGCTAGTATTTGTAAATCATGAGGGGGGTCTAGCATGAGATAATTCCAGATAATTTAAAAGAGCAGATCATAAATGATCTATATGATATTTAATAGTTTAATTTCCTATAAGTAGTAATGAGAGTGGTGTCTTTTATAAAAAACATACACATAATACAAGACAATGTATAACATAATATATAGCTAACAATATATATACATATGTGTGTATAGTATTAAAACCAGAAAACATAAATGCAGCAAGAAGCCCATTTAAGGAGAAGAATAGAAGATCGAATTTCTGATCATGTCAAACATGAAATTTTGCTGGGCAAGCATTGTGATGTGAGGTGTCCTATCTTGGGAGAATAGGGCAAGTTCCTTAAATAACTTAGTTTCTTCTCAGTTGAAAAGATCTTCTTTGTTATCCTTTGTGAACATATTTTAGAAATATTTTGAGTTGTAGATGGACAAAATACCTTTAGTTTAATATTTATTTTTATGTGGTGCTGAGGATTGAACCTAGTGCCTCACATGTGTGAGACAAGCACTCTCCCACTGAGCTACAACCTCAGACCATTTATGAACATTTTTGAAGTGGATAATGGAGTTCATGCATGCCTTGAAGTCTGTATAGCTTTCCCAGTTGATCAAGTTTTATCACCACTTCTTTTTCTTCTTCTTGAAGTTTGGGGCTTGACTGTTTCAAGAATTGAACAGAAAAGACTTTTTAAAAGATGAAATAGTTATAAGTTTCAAGAAGTGGCTCTGTTCCACATATTTATTCAGGGCTTCAACTTTGTGGTTACTTGTCTTTAACTAGTGTTCCCATGTTTGTAGAATATGTTGGTATCAGACAGCAGAAGTAGGAAGGAAGTGGAGGACTGTTGAGTAGATTTTAATCGGCCTGGATTTGCAGTAGTGTATTTTATTTCTGCCACTGACCAGAAAGTAAACCACAAGTCCAGACCAACTTCAGAGGAGGCTAGGAAATGTGGTCTAGCTGTATATCTCTGAGAAGAAAGGGAATCAAATTTGGGTAAATAACTAGGAAATGTCTCCTTTTTTCTGTCTATCTAAAGCTCTATATCCCACCAACAGAGAATATATAGAAATTATTTTAGTTAGTATATAAAATATAGTATATTTGCAAATATAATTAGCACAGTAAGCCATAAAGAAAATCTAAAAAAAAAATAGTGAAGGAGAGAATTGTAACTACATCATGCAATCAAAATTTAATAAAATTTGAAATCAACCCCCAAAAGTTGTTTGTCATCCTTTAACTTTTTGAAAAGTTGGAGACAATTTGGGTTTTAAAAAAATAAGAAAAAAGGCCATGGATGTATTATAAGTCAAAATACATTCTACTGTCAGGTATAACTAAAAAGAATAAATAACAAAATTTTAAAAAATAAGAAAGGAAATGAAAGTCAACTACAAATTACAGAGAAAGTGATGAAAACCAAAACCAGTGTTGTGTTCTACAGAAAATTCATACCTTTAAACTTTTTATTTTTTAGTAAATGACTGATAACCCAACTTAAGAAATCAGGAGAATAATAGAACAAATCCCAATAATACCTTAATGCCTTATCTTTTTCCAATTGAATTTACTATGATTGCCTGAAGGTTCCTTTTTGTCAAAATTTATTTCCTAGCAAGTGTCTATTCTGTTACCTGTTGCTTCTAAACCAATTTAATATTTTATTCACTATAGGCTAATTGTGTGTGTGTGGGGAGGAGAGAACTTCATTGAATTAAAGTACTATAAAACAAATCAGTGGCATTTATTGGGTAGATATAAGTGGAAATTATCATGCATACTTGGGAATTGTTAAAATTTTGGTTTTCTCCTAGATTGTGATGGAAGAAGGAAGAACATGTTCTTTAAAAGGAAGGCCAACATCCACAAAGAAGATCTGTCAGTATGACTGTATAAGTTAATTTTATTCTCTTTAAAACTAACAACTAGAAATCAGTTAAATTAAAAAAATTTTTAAAGATTTTCACTAGCCAATAAATATTTCATAGGTATCTTAGAAAATACTAGTAATGCAATCAATGCTTTAAAATAAGTTTTTTTAATAAAAATACTTTATGAATATACATAATGTAAATGGACAGTTTCACAAATAGTAAAATAAATATCCTCAAAGTCAACCATTAAGAAATAATATATAAATACTGTACTTTTGAAAATATTCTCAATTGCATTTCCTATCCTGCCCCCTAGAGGTAACTATTTTCCTGAATTTGTTTCTTGAGATGGTATCACACAGACATTTCTGTTGCTTGATTTTAAACTTTTTACATATTGAAAAACTTCTATGTATTTTCCTGCAACTTTCTTTTTTAACTCAGTATTATGTTTTCAGGCTCATTTACTTTTACATGTTATTATTATTTTTATTGTTATGCAGCATTCTGTTTTGTGAATGTGCCACAGTTTGTTTATGCATCTTTTGACAATGGATATTTATTTAGTTTTGAATATTTTGCTTTTTGCTATTTATGCCATTCTTGACATTTCTTCTAGAACACATGAATATAAAATTACTCTAGGGTATATTACTAGGAGTAGAATTGCCAATTTAATGCAAAATTATTTTCTAAAGTGTGCCTATTTTACCTACAGCTAACAAAGGGTAAGAATCTTAGTCACATATTTTAACCAACACTATGTCAGTCTTTTGTCATTGTTGGTAATTTGATGTTTATATTTTAACATATTTTTCTGATTACTTATTAGGTTAATTGGTTATCTGTGTTTCATTTGTGAAGTGTATTTCATGTCTTTAGCTCTTGTTTCATTTAAGAAGTTTGGTTTTACTTATGGGGTATCTTTTATCAATAGATCTGTATCTTTTGTAAATCTCTTTTGAATCTTGAATAGTAATTATTTATAGGCTTACATGTAACAGATATTTCATATTTGAGAAGTTTTTTCATTCTTTACTGATATGATAATTAAAGTTTCATATTTTCCTGACACTTCTTAGGTATTCTGTGCTAGAATGGCTCTTTAGGTTATCTGGTCTGCTAGGTACTTAGAAACCTTTGTGGATGTAAAACATTAGTCTTGGCTTTTTTAGTTCTTTAATTCCTTGCTTCCTTCAGCATATGGGTATTCTTTGTTGTTTTATGTTTTATCCTTGCACTCTGTGAGATTTCCCTCCCCCAAATAAAGCCTAAAACATGCATGCCCACAAATTTTAGTTCTCTTCCTTTATTGCTCTGAGTGTAATACATGGAATTATGTAAAAGAATTAAGTGAATCCTATAGATTCTCCCATGTTAGCACCATATATTTATCATCCTTTTATGACTTGCTAGTCATTCATTCAATACATTTACTGCAATTGATTTAATTGGTGTCCTATTGATGCACATTTGGGTGGTTTCTTACAAATGTAACTAAAGAACTTGGTGCATATTTTTTTTTTATTTGTGGAGGTGTGTTTTGGTGGTAATTACTAGGGATGGGATTCAACAGTCAAACCAAGATGCACTGTTATTTGATATATATTGCTGAATCTCCACTTTGATGTTATCAAATTTCCTACTTGCAGCATGTAGCCAATTATAACAGCAAGTGTGAGTTATCCCATAGACTCATCAACAGATATTGTGGTCAAATCTAAGGTTTTTTTTGTAATTTTGAGTTATTTGAGATGAATAGATAGGTTTTAGTTTGTATTTAATTTCTGTCTGTGAAGCTGAATATTATTTTAAATATTTTCAGTGACTGTTTATGTTCTTTCTTTTCTTTTCTTTTCTTTTTTTTTTTTTTTAGTTTTTGGTCTATTTGGCATTTATGTCTTTTGACAAATTGGGTTCTTGGCCTTTTTTCTTGATACTTAAGAACTAGCTCTTCTTATGTTAAAAAGGTTTACATTTTGTAATATAAGTAATAAATATTTTCTTCTAGTTTAATATATTAGCTTTTCATATATTTTGATTTTACTATACTTACGTTGTCTCTTGCTTTGTTTAACAATATTTTACTATTTCTGGATTGCATTAGAAGTTCTCCACACTCCTGGGTTATAAATGAATTCACCATATTTTCTTGTAACTTTAGTATTGTTTTGTATTTTACTTTTATATCTTTAATTTATTTGGATATTTTCCTGATTTAAAGTATGGGACATGATATCATTCAAGTTCTAAAAATGCATCTTTCCCTGGGTGTTTATGATGTTGCCTTTTAAATATACTAACTACATATTATCTAATCTGTTTGGAGGTTTTCTTAACTGTTCCATTGGTCTTTCCTTATTTTCATGTGCCAATACCATACTTTTTAAATTAAGAATGTTTTATAGTGTGTTTAATTTCTGGAAATGTTTTATATATCTGCACTTTTTTAAAAAAAAGTCTCTCTTGGCCAGTCTAAATTATTTTTTTCATATAAGCTTTAAAATTAATCTAACTTCAAAAGAAACATTTTAATTTTTATTAGGAAACTGTTAAATATGTATCTTAGTGTGAATTGTTATTGTAATGAATATAATATATTATAGCCCTAAGAATAAGGGTATCTTTCCATCGATTCAATCTAAATTTATAGTTGTAGTTACCTAACATATCTTTAAGCACTTTCTTAAAATTTTTTCAAATAGATTTTGCATGTTTCTTATTTCACTTATTCATAGGTACTTTTTGGTGTTTTTATTGCTACTTTATTATGAATATACTTCCTATATTTCTACACTGAGATTCTGGATTGTGGGCTTGTGTAAATTTGTATTGATTATTTTTTCAAGAATTTGACACCTTCCAATAGTTATGAGATATTATCCACTTGTGATTTTGGGAAATTAGTGGTTTGGGTTAAGAATGATTTTTAGTGTTTGTGGGAATGATTATTAATTTTTATTCTTAGAGTTTTAAGCTTATTGTGGCCAAAACCACATAATGTGAAATTTATCCTTCCAATAGTTTTTATGTGTGTAGGGCTTTATCATCAAACACATGCCACTGTATCTACCCAGTAAAAACTGCCTGTCTCTCACTTCCCCTGGCCCTTGGCAATCCCCCTTTTACTTTCTGTTTTTATCAGTTTGATTATTTTAGATACTCAAATGAGTGAAATCATGAAGTATTTAACTTTTTTGTGACTGACTTGTTTCACTTGAAATAATGACTTAAGTTTCATCCATATTGTAACATGTACTAACAAGATTACCTTCTTTCTTAATGCTGCATAATATTCCACTTGTATGTATATAACACTTTTGTTTTATCCATTCATCCATTGCTAAGGTTTCTTCCAGCTCTTGGCTATTGTGATTAATAATGCAATCAATATCAGAATAGAAATCTCTCTTTTAGACCCTATAATAGGTTTTCAGTTCTTTTGGCTATGCACCCATAAATAGGATTACAAGATTCATGTGGTGATTCCAATTTTAACTTTTTTGAGGTATCTCTGTACTATTTTCCATAGTAGCTGCCCCATTTATTTTCTTACCAAACATGCAGGACAGTAATTATTCTACTTCCTCATCAATACTTATTCTAGTTGTTTTTTTAAATGATAGTGGCCTTCCAAAAAGTGTGACATGTTATCCAGTTGTGATACAGTTCTTTTACAAAGGTGAATCTTATTAAAGGATTTTGCAATTTGGACTGTCTTTGCATTCTTATAATAAATCTTACCAAGTGATGATGTTTTATAATATTGATTATTTTTTTAAAAATAGTTTAATATTTTATTTGTTATTAGATTTTTGCATCAGTATTCATAAATGAGTTTTTCTATAAAGAGAGAGAGGGAGACAGTGTGTGTGTGTGTGTGTGTGTGTGTGTGTGTAGTCTTTGTCAGATTTTGTTGAGATTGTACAGATCCAGAAACAATTTAAAAGCTACATACTTGCCCAAATTGAGGCTAGCTGAAAACTTTCTTGATATTTAAATCTCTTGTCCTTTCCTCATCCCAATTTCACTACTTTATTACAAATTACTTTGTGATGTTTGGTTTGGTAGGTAGGGAGTCATATACTACTTCCCAGGCCCAGTTTTAAACTTTGTTTGCAATCATAAGATAACATATTAAGCAAAAATGAAAAAATATGATATTGGGTGCTTTGGATAGATTTTTTTTTTCATACAGTTTGATTGCACAGTAAAGTTTCATTGACTAGATTAGCAAATATCTGATACCTTGGGACTGAATTTATTTCTGCTTCCTACAGTTGACACTTTAAATTATTTGTTCATAAAAAATGGCACATATATTGGAAAACATCAATCCCAATTTTCTCATTTCTGCTTTCCTCTTTATGTACCCCTATTACTTGTAGATAACCATTCTTTTAAGAGTAAAATAAACCCATAAATCCTGTTATAAATGCAAGGTGCCAAGTATCCTAAATTTTAACTAAATTTAGCACATTTTAAATTTGTTAGGTTAGCTAATCTTTGCACACAGATATCTTCTGCCTTTGGATATTTTATACAGCATCAGTGAATATCATTCTTCATGAATTAAACCTTTATTTTCAGATCTTGATTCTTCACAGAGTAGTCAGTCTGCCAGTTACTCTCCAAGGCCAACGGATAGTTGTTTCAGTTCTAGTTCAGAGATGGTAAGTTATGCCTTTTTACTTATAAATTTTATATTCATTTAGATTTTTTTATACTGAAGATTGAACCCAGAGGCACTTATTCACTGAGCCACATCCTCAAATCTTTTTTTGTATTTTATTTGGAAACAGGGTCTCACTGAGTTGCCTAGCGCTGTGCTAGGTTGCTGAAGCTGGTTTTGAACTTGAGATCCTCCTTTCTCAGCCTTTCCAAGCCATTGGGATTACAGGCGTGCACCACTGTGCCCAGCTAGAATTATTTTTGTCGGTTTACTTTTACATTATGAAAAACAGTTGAACCAATACAGAGGAAACAAAAAATAATATAAATGAAAATGTAAAAAAATAAACAATATAAGAAATATTGTAAAATGTGAAAGCATAAGAAAATGTACACAAAAATGTAAAATAAAATAATAACAAAATGTAAACAGTTGGATGTGATAGCTTATGCCTATAATCTCAGCATTTTGGGAGATATGAGGTAGGAGGATCATAAGTTCAATTTGTCTTAGTAACTTAGGCCCTAAGCAACTTGGCAAGACCTTGTTTCGATAAAAAAATAAAAAGGGATGGAGATGTAGATCAGTGGTGAAGTGCCCCTGAGTTCAATTCCCCAGTACCAAATAAAAAAAAGAAAAGAAAAAAATTTACATAAAAATATATTATTTGTAAAATTGTCTTAACAAGATGTATATAATTTGAAGCATAAAACAACCAAGTGTACCTTCAAAAAAAAAAGTCTTAGGCCTATATAAGAAGGATTTGGATAATAGTGTTGAAGACTAAAATATGAATAATTTGAAAGACATTTCTGAGTGAGAATCTACACTTCTGACAAATCACTTTTAGAAGGAAATTCTATCTTCACTCTTTTATCTTCATTCCTTGTTGCCTTTAGTATCTAATTTGCCATCTTGCTAAGGATACCAGTGACTTCTGTGTTGTCAGATTGACTGGATGCTTTTCAGTCTTTATCTTATGAGAACTCCTGATACTGATAGAAATTATTATTTAATTTCTTTGAAATATTTTTCTTCTTTGCTTTTATTTTAACACACTATCTTTGTTTTCTTGATATCTCTAAGAATGCTTTTTTATGCCTTTTTTTTTCACTTGTCTTTTTCCGTATATAAATGTTGTAATGTTTAGGATTTCATACAAGACCCTCTTCTGTAAACCTATAATCTAGACCTTTAGTGATTTTATACATTCTATTGACTTTTATACTATCTGGGTGATGTCAGTTCCTAGTTTTATGACTTTAGCCCTGGTTCTTATTTAGATGTTCAATTTTCTATTGGACATATCTTGGAAATTTCACAAAGATCTTTTTCATACCTCAAACTTAAAACCTAATTTTTCACCCAAATCAGTTTTTTATATATTTCTGTATCAATAAGTATTTTTGTATTTGCCCAAGCGTTCATATCAGAAGCCTACTATAATAGTTAATATTGTTATTTCTTTCTTTCTCAAATCTGCCTCCCTCAATCATCTTCATTTCATCACTTTGTACAATCAATTCTACCTCCAAAATAAATTGTGAATTTATCTGCTCTCAACAAGCACCAGTGCCCTATTCTAAGTTACCATCATCTTGTTCTTGAACTGTTCCGGCTGTTTCATAAGAGATGTCTTTACTTTCACTCTTCCCCCAGCGTCTTCTCTAGTTAGCAGATATCATAATAAAAAATATATAAATAAGTTGGCCAGGCACAGTGGCACAAACCCGAAATCCCAGTGCTTCAGGAGGCTAAGGCTAGAGGATTATTGGTTCAAATCTAGATTCAACAATTTAGTAAGGTTCTAAGCAACTTAGAACCTATCTCAAAATAAAAAATAAAAAGGCCTCAGTGGTTAAACATCCTGGGTTCACTCTTTGTACCAAATAAATAAATAAAGTAAGTTGAATCATGTTATTCTGATGTGTAATAATTCCGATAGAATCTGAATTTACAGTGGCACTAGCTCTTGGCCACCATTACCTGTTTCTTCCAGTATTCTTCCTTTCTTCTTTTTTTTCCACACGTATTAGCCCTTCATTTTCCTTAGTTTGTCATTCTCCTTTCCGCTTCAGGGCAGGAATTTATTTCTTTTTTCTCAGTCTTATACTTTTTTATCCTTTAAGTCTTAGGTTAAATATGTCACTTATTTAAAAAGTCCTTCCCTGGCTCCCCAGTATAAATATGGCTTCTCCCTTAGTGGTGCTCTGAAAGTACCTCATACTTGTTCCTCATAATGCTTTTCTCAATCTATAGTTATGTGTTTATGTGTCTGATTATTTTGCTAATTTTATTTTTACTCATTATGTGAATTCCAAGAGAACAGCAACCATTTTGTTTCACTCATATTGCAGATGCCTTTTAGTAAGTGAATGTTTGTTTCTTAACTAAATACATGCATTGAGCTTTTGTTTTCCAATTTATGCTCAGTTTTAATGCTCTGTCTTGGGCTTACTTTAGTTTTTTCATTATTATTTTTGCCACTTTTTTCAGTTTGAATGATTAATACTTTTAAATATTCATAAAAAGTATGTTTTTGTTCTTAATAAATACATTTTTCATGAAGTTGAAAAATTCAGGCTTAGCAAATTTAAATCTAGGCCTATTAAAAGTTATTACAGTTTGTATTTTTAGATTAAAGTTAACATATTTATTCCTGTTAAACTTTTATTTTTTTAAATATTTTTTTTTTTAGTTGTAGATGGATACAGTATCTTTATTTTATTTATTTATTTTTATGTGGTGCTATGGATTGAACCCAGTGCCTCATGCATGCAAGGCAAGCGCTGGACCACTGAGGTACAACCCTAGCCCCTAAATATTTTTGATATTCTGTTAGCTGATACACTCCTTATATTATCTTCTTAAGATATATCTATCATGGGATGGACCCATAAAGTGTATGTAATGAGTATGTTTTCCTTAATGAATCGGTGAGTAAATGATAAAAAAGTTTCAACCGTTCCCTTCAAAGGTATCACGTTGGCAGTCTTTTGAAGTGATTGAATAGTGAATTGCCCATCATTTCTTCAGTGTTAGAGATTGATGGAATGATGCATTCGGTGATTATAAGTACTGAGAAGACATAAGATTCCTCTTGTTTTTTTCCATTTTTAATATTTAAAAATCCACAGCCTGCTGAGTGAGATGTATGGTAGATTGAAGACACTTTGATAATATATATGCTTTGCTTAGTAACCTGTCAGTCTCTCCTATATTTAGAAATTTCCTGTAATGTGAATTTTAAGAATGTTTACTTGGAAGTAATTGAGCAATTTTATTAGGCATTTTATTTAAGCTTTATTTACAGCAAAATTATTTAATTTCTTTTAGCCATCAGAAGATGAAGATCAAATGTTACAGCAAATTGAAGACTCAAATAAGATATGTGTCAAAACTACTGAAACAACCAATGATTTTCATCTAGAAAGGATGTCAAAAGTTTCAGGTGATAGGATTGGTAAAGATAATGCCAAAATTCACAAACAAACTGAAAATTTCTACCCATTCTCAGTGAAAAATAATACAGATCAATCTCCTCAGTTGCAGTGCAATTCAGCACATGTGTTGCAAAACAAAATCAATAATAACTGCATTCTGCCAGTTGTAAGATGTGATGCAGGGGTACAAACAGAGAGAGAACCTGCAATGGAAGAAAAATTTGATGCTTCCGTACAGTGTAATATAATTTCACTATGTACATGTAGAAGTGATGTGTCTCCTCTTTGCCATATAGAAATACAGTGAAAATATTAAGGCATATACCACTGGAGGGCAGGAAATCCTTAAGAAAAACTAGTATTCTAAAATCTCAGTCTAGGATGTAACATTTCAGTTGACCTTGGAAGGCAATAATAAATGTTCAGAATTTAATTAACATAATAAGGAATGAGAAAATGTAACTAAGCATTAGGCTAAAGTATTTAGAAGGTCTATTCATGATTCTAAGATGTTTTAATATTTTATGCACTTAATTTTTGTATAGGCATTTCTTTGATGGTTTATTGATTCATCAAGGTTTTATAAAATAGTCTTATAAATATATTATCATTTTCATGCTTATTATTCTTTACATTATTATGATATGCTGTTATTCCTGGATTAAAAATATGCTTAGCTTTCTTCCTTGTGGCATTTACTTTAAAATTAGGTGCGGTTGTATCTTGCAGGAAAAATATTTTTTTCCAAAACTTTAGGGCAGAAAATAATAGTACCTAATGTGTTCTATGTCATTATCATAAGAATTTTGTTAACTACTTCTCTTTAATGTTATACCCCACTTAAAATTCTAGATTTTTTTTTAACTCTGGTTTCATTTGTGTGTTTATGAGACTGCTGGGGAGCAAACTCAGATCCTCACAAATACTTGAGCAAACTCAGATCCTCACAAACTCAGATCCTCACAAAGTGCTCTACCACCAGTACCCACCAGTCTATGGATTAATTTTTAGACACATATATCTTCTTTTTTGTTTGGATAACATTTGTTGTTAGTGCTTGTATCAACTCAGAGGAAGATGTTTTCCTCCTTAAGGTTAAAAAATATTTTAATGCTTTTATAGAAAAAAGTTTTAAAATTGGAAAAATTTATGTTTCTTTTTTAATGTTGCTAGGCTTCTTTAACAAATATTACATCAAAATTTCTTAGTCTTTTAAAATATAGGCTTTGATTCTAGCACATTTATCTTATACCACAATTTTAAATGCTTGTACTTTAAAATTGACACTTGTTTGGTTATGCAGATGCTCGGAGACTTATTAGTGGGGGTTACATCCTGATAAACTGATTGTAATTGAAGATATTTTAAGTTGAAAATGCATTTAGCTTACCTAACTTATCAAGTATCATAGCTTAGCAATATACTACATTATATAAACTATTGGTTTTCCCACATGATAGAGTGGCTGACAGTGTTTGCAGCTTGTCACCAACACTGTGGACTATTATACTACAAATGGCTAAATCAGGAAAAGATCAAAATTCCATTATGGATTTATTTCCTGAGCACTATTTTGCAAAAATATAACATATTGTGTAGGAAAGACTAATTATGTGGAACAAGAAGACTATACTGATAACTTTGAAATAATATTAAGCTGTGAGTCTTACCTCAGTCTCAACTGTTAAATAAACCAGTGTTTTCCAAATATGAATCAAAGTTTGTCAATATAGAAAGCAAATTAACTACAAAAGTCTACACTAGTTCAGTTTTATCAATATCATAATGTAATAGTTAAGCTCAGTAATGCATGAATTTTGGAGCTTTTAAAAGGCAGTGATCACTCCCAGTGAGAGCAGGGAATTTGCAGGGTAGTACAGAAATTAATCTTGTCCAAAAAAAGGTTTGGCCTTCATTTCTGGGAGTGTCATTCTGTTTTTTTTTGGTACCAGGGATTGAACCTAGGAGTGCTTAACCACTGAGCCACGTCCCCAGCCCTTTATTTTTTATTTTGAGACAGGGTCTCGCTAAGCTGCTTAGGGCCTCACTAAGTTGCTGAGGCTGGCTTTGAACTCACAATCCTCTGTTAGCCTCCTAAACTGCTGAGATTATAGGCATGTTATTCTAAACGAGTCTTCTTATTAACCTGAGAACCTTGGGAGAAGCCACATTGTAACAGTGTGAATTAAGATGAAGCTTTTGATTCAATCAGTATCAGCTTGATTTCCTTTGGGACTGGAGAATGAGATCAATCATTTAGGCAGTCACCATGCCATTGTGTTGGAGCCCTAGTAAAGACTCAGGACACCATAGCTCAGGCAAACTTCCCTAATTAGCAGTACTCCATGTATATTGTCATATCTTTGTAGGAAAGTAATGTTATCTATGATTTTGTGAGAGAACTATTAGAAGCTCTATGTTTGTTATTTTCCTAGACTATGTCTGTGAGATTCTTCTGGCTGATGTTAATCTGTATTCTTTCTCTGTAATAAACCACAACTGTGAATACAACATCTTTCAAAGAGTTCTTTGAGTCCTAGTGAATTATTAAATTTGAGTGTGGACTAGTGACACCCAAACAAGTGACCTTCGTATTCTCTAAGATTGGAGAAACATTGTTCTTCCCTAGTCGATCTGAAGGATAAAGCTTCAGTGACTCACAGTGATAATTTGCTTAATAAACCCTTTATTACTTTTCTTCCTTTTTCACGTCTCACTTCCATGTCATGTTTTTTTTTTTTTGAGATTATACACCAAAGGGTATTTACTTGAATCCTTGCCTCATAATTTGCTTTTGGAGCAAGTCAAAAGATTGGCAGGAACCATAACAAGTAGATAAATGAATTGTATGTATAGTTGTAAATCAAATGTTAATATTCCTATTTTTTTGTCTCAGATTCCATTTCTGCTAATTACTGAAAACTTAATACATTGGTCTAGTAGCATATTAGATACAGACAAAGAAAGCATTTGTGAAGTTAAATATACATAAAAATGCCCATAATTCAGAAGATTTTTAGTAGCAAGTACGAGAGAATAAGTTAACAATAAGGAGGACAGAGAAGACACTTTAAATATGCTTAATTGAACTACCAGCAGTATGGGAAAGAATGGGAAAGCAGCATAATATGAAGAGATAATGGCTGTTTTCCAGAAGTGATCAATCATACTAATACACAGATTCAAGAAACCTGGTGATTTCACAGTAGAAAAAAATAAATACATATTTTAGGCTCAATATAATAGTTAAAGACTCAAAAGCAAAGGAAGATCATGAAAGCAGCTGAGGAGAAAAAAAAACTGCCTTCTTAGGGCAGCTATAATGTCAGATGGATTTTTTAATTAAATTATTTATTTATTCTAATTTGTTATACATGATGGCAGAATGCAATTCATTTCATATTACATATAGAGAGCACATTTTTTCAAGTCACTGATTGTACACAAGTATTTTCACACCACTTGTGTCTTCATACATGTACTTAGGGTAATGATGTCTAACTCATTTCACCATCTTTCCTACCTCCTTTCCCCCTGCTTTTCCCTCTTTCCCCTTTGCCCAATCTAAAGTTCTTCCATTCCTCCCATGCCCCCACCATTGCCATTATGAGTCTGCATCCTCATATCAAAGAAAACATTTGGCTTTTATTTTTTTGGGTGTGGCTTACTTCACTTAGCATGGTGTTCTCCAACTCTATCCATTTACCTTCAAATGCCATGATTTTATTCTCTTTTAATGCTGAGTAATGTTCCATTGAGTATGTATACCCAAGTTTCCCTTTCCATTCATCTACTGAAGGGCAGCTGGGTTGATTCCACAATTTAGCTATTGTGAGTTGTGCTGATATAAAAGTATGCTGTTTTTAAGTCTTTTGGGTGTAAATTGAGGAATGGGATAACTGGGTCAAATGGTGGTTCCATTCCAAGTTTTCCAAATTGGCTGCACCAATTTGCAGTCCCACCAGCAATGTATGAGTTTGCTTTTTTCCCCACATCCTCGCCAATATTTACTGTTGTTTGTATTCTTGATAGCTGCCATTCTGACTGGAATGAGATGAAATCTTAGAGTAGTTATGATTTGCATTTCTCTAATTGCTAGAGATGTTGAACACTTTTTCATATGTTTGTTGATTGATTGTATTTAGAGAGTCTGCAGAATGGAAGCAAATAATACCACACGCACATCAGATAGAGCACTAATCTCTAGGATATATACAGCACTCAAAAACCTTAACACCAAAAAAACAAATAATCTAATCAAAAATGGGCCAAGGAACTGAACAGATACTTCTCAGAAGAGGATATACAATCAGATGAATTTTATTTTATTATACGTTTTTGTGTGTATGGTGCTAGGGATTGAACCCAGGGCCTTGTGCATGCAAGGCAAGCACACTACCAACTGAGCTATATCCCCAGCCCATGAATTTTTAATATCAATAATTTAAACCAAAAGACAGTATAATAAACCTTCCAAATGCTGCCAGAAAATAATTGTCATCCTAGATTGTGTTTCCAGTGCTACAGCTATAATAATATTTGAAATCACAAAACTAGCCACTACAAACTTTAAGGAACCACTGACACAGGATTTGGTAATTTATACTTAATGTTTTTGTATTATATACAGATTGTGCTTTTTCTTTGTGGGAAAGTTTGTTACTTATTTTTCACTATTTAGTCTTTAACTCAGGAGTTCAACAGTTTTTCTGTTTTTTTTTATGTTTTTAGGCTACCTTGTTAAGTGCTTTAAAACCTTTGAAATTGTTTTTAGCTACAGGCATTTTTAAAAAATTTTTTTCCAGTGTTGTGTCTGTTTCACGTCAGTGTACATTCCTGTATAAACCTGTTGCTCAAGAAATTATGTGTGCTCTCATATTTTTTCAAATTACTTTATTTTAAGCTTTTATTTATTTTTTTAAAATATTTTTAGTTTTGATAGATCTTTATTTTTTTATTTATTTATACATGGTGCTGAGAATTGAACCCAGGGCCTTGCATGTGCTAGGCAAGCACTCTACCACTGAGCCACCCCAGCCTGAAAAGGCTTTTTGATTAAGATCAAATCCTGGTCACTCTCAGGAAAATAGGGAGTGAAGATCATGTCAAGGTGTTATTGTATAACTCTTTGCAAGAAGGTGGAATGGTACCTTAAATATCCCTAAGAATTTTAAAGGGCGTACGTTGCAGATTATCTCTCCTAATTAGTGTGTTTTTAAGATTATAAGTGGTGCTTTCCTTTGGCAATATTACAGGAAACCAAAGATAGAGGAAAGGTTTATCTTGCTGAATTTTGTAGGTGTAGCTTTTGTATGTTAACTTCAGTATAATTTGTAGAAGACCAACAAAACTTTAAGAGAAGCATATTCACAAACACTGCCACTTTGAACTACAGGATAGACAGTATCAACTGAGAGGAGCCCTTTGTACTTAAGAAGTATCACTGTCAGGAAGCTGAGAAAACTACACCAGTGTTTTTTTTTTTTTTAATGGAAAAAGCTGACTTGGGGTAGCACCTTGAGCTTAGAGGATATAGCTAAGACCTTTGGGGATATAGTGCTACACTCTTACACGGCAGATCTGAGAGTCAAGGAACCAACAGGATGTAAGTGGCTAGATTTCAGAATTGTAATGAACTAGTGACTCTATTTACCCCTCTTTCCCCCATTCTGTTTTCCATGGTAAAATATATAGCAGTTATCTTATGCCTCTACTCCATTGTATGTTGATACCTGAAAGCCACATACTTGTCTCTTTGGTTCACTATGTTTTTAGATTGAAAATATACTTTTATGAGTTGTACTTTGCTGTAGTTGATAATTGGCATCTGAGGAGTCTCAGCCATACTTCTATGAAATCCTGGAGTTTTCAGCCTATCCTTGATGCCATCATAGGTAAGATTTTTGCAAGGGTGTGGTTACCTAGGGAATTGAAGAGTGTATTTTGCATGTGGAAGGAATGAATGCAAATACTTTGAGGTGAAAGGGTATGTTTATAATTTGACACTTTTTTTTTTTTACAAAAGGTAAAGTCTAATTGCCATTCCTTTGTTATGAGTGAGTTTTAGTGGCTTATTCCTATAAATAGTATGAGAAAGAAGTGATATAGTAGGACTTCCAAGGCTATGTCATAAAAGATGATTCCGAAAGCTGACATTTTCTCTCTCTTTCAGGATATATGACTTTTTGTGTTCTGAGTTGCCATTTTAGAAGTCTGATTGCCCTAAAATCTCCATGCTGGAGAGACTAATATGTGTTGCTGAATTCTATCCTGTGGTTCATGTTTGGGGGTCGGTCCATGGAGAGATCTACCATTAAAAATATGATTAACATGCACATAAAATTTGAAACTAATAACTATCTCAGTAACACAGAATAACATATATTGTTGGAAAATTTGTGAAATCTATTGTGTCCTGGTGTCAGGGAACAGAAAGATGAGAACAGTGGGAATGTGAGGTTAAGAGAATAATTCTATAAAATGGGCCCACTGTGCTGACCTTGCACATACTTTCTTCGCCAAAAAAGCAAGCTGCCTGAATCCTTGCCTGGCCGGTGTTGTTAACCTCTGCAATTCTGCTTCTGGGTACTTTGGGTTGATAACATTCAACCTCATGTCCCTGCCCTTAAACACATACATGGAGAAGAAAGAGAAAGCAATAATTAAAAGAGGGGATGCTGAGGTCTGTAAAAGAGCAAGACACACCCCCTCCTGTGGACACTTAGCTCTGGAGCCCCTTCTCTTCAGAGAAGTCTGTATCATCACTTTCTTAAATTACATTTGCTTTCTACATTTGCCTTGGCATTTTTTGGGGAACAAGGACCTCATTCCTGATCTCCAAGACTGTTATCACTGGAGCCACTGAACTGTCCTTGCTTGAAAAAAATTGAGATCTGTAAGAAAAAAAATGGAAAAGTTCTGTGACAAAGCTTTTGTGATGTAAGGTTTTCTAGTCTTAAAATTAGACATTTTAAGCTTTACTGATAGACCAAGAAATGTTTTTGTTCTCTTAAGGGGAGATTTCTTGCTCATATTGAAAGTCTTGTAGTTACATGTTGGCATGAGAGTTAACTTTGTTGGCTGCTATTGACCCTTTAATTATTTGCTTTTTGTAGTCACTGAACATGTATATGAACTGAATTTGCCACCGATGTTTTAAGAATTTTGAATGATACTTATGAATTAAAGAGTAAATGCATAAAAACTGATAGGAAACAAGATAGCCTAAAAGCACAGATAGAAACAGTTGGAAAATCAAAGCATAATGAGTGCAAACATTTCTTTTCCTATCATAACTGACAATTTGTTGTTTAATATTCATCAGTTCTAATTTGTCTTTCATTGCTAATAAGGAGCTACCTCGCTTTAGATAAGATCAGATGGAAGGGTTATTGTATCCCTGAGCTACTTTTACTTGGGAAATCAATTCATCTTACTTTTTAGAAAGTTAGCCCCCCAAATTAAGTGGTACGTTTCTTAAATTATTCTATAATGTCTCTGAATCATGATTTATTTGTTCAGTACCT